TGATTTTAAACTAAATGTGTCTGTATTTCTTACCATCCTTTACTGGTTTTAGATTATCATTATTGTTTAATAGGTTTACTAAATTAATGTTGTTCATTATGTCTTATAGAGGATATTGAATGAGTGTAAGTTCAATACTGAATTTATTGCACGAGTTGAATAAAATTATATTATGCGAGCCTCTGACGAGCATAATATTATTTTATTCAACGAGTGCAATAAATTCAGAAATGAACTTACACGAATTTAATATTCTTTTTATCACATACCAAAAATAAATACAGTTTAAAGTGAAATAAGAGTCATTTTTCATTGACGCGCATATAGTATAACGCCAACATTTAGCGCGTCTTTACACTATGTTTGTATAACGCTAATGACGTCACGTCAAAATAATATGCACGGCCGTGCAATACCATATTTACGGAGTCGCAAAATCGGCACGGGTGTGTGATAAATATATATATGATAATGTTTTATCGGATTTATGTAAAGCACTCTTGAACATTTATTATTTATGAAAAGAGTGCTATAGAAATGTGGTATATAATAATGATAATACTAATAATAATAATAATAATAATAATAATAATAATAATAATAATAATAATAATAATAATAATCTCAAAAAGGTGTTAGAGGTATCAACTTGAAACTTATTAGGTGGATAGATCTCATTGAGGAGGAGTGCAGCACACAAGACATTTAACCTACCGTGCATTATTTTTCAGTTAATGCCCTTTGTTATTTTTCATACTTAATTTTGTCCAGAGCATAACTACAAAGGCCTTTGAGATATTAACATGAACCTTCATAGGTGGATACATCTCACTCGAGAGGTATGCAGTACACAAGAATGATAATTATTCTACTCTACTACATATAAACATGGCTCTTAATTGTAACAAGTTACATGATTATGATATTTTAAAACCTTCTGAACAAGTTAACATGTCAATTCAAAACAATGCTATTTGGAGATACCTTATCAATATATTTAAACTGGTTTTTTTTTTGTTTTTTTTTTTGTGTGGGGTCTTTTTTTTTTTTTTTTTTTCGTTGCTGCATTTTCCCAGCAATTTTTACTTGTGGAACATTGTCTTGTTTTTTTTTGTTTTCGCCGTGACAATCATGGTTATTATTTATTAGCATTGCAGTGCATTTCCCAGCAATTTTTTTATCTAGACTTGAATATGAATAGCAGAAAATTTCAAAAACTTTTACCGTACTGATTGTGAAGAATTCAAGTTTTGAAGTTCCAACCCCACCAATTTTATTTTCAAGCACTTTTCAAAAATCCAACTATTAAAGTTTGTTAAATTTCTCAATATTATTATTTTTAGGCAAAGTAACCTTAAAATTGAAGATAGCATATGCCAGACAAGATAACTATGATTAAAGAAGTAAATTAAAAACAAAAAAATATGAAATTTGAAGAAAATGTGCCCTTTTTATGATTTCGATATCAACTTACATTCTACTGGGCAATGGCTAAAAAACTTCAAATTTTTTTATGTCACAAGAAGTTTAGTTAATTGGTCTTAATCAATCCATAACTCTTTCTTATAAACTTTATGAAAAATTTATAATTTCATGAGCAAAAAGTCCAATAAACACAGATTATTTGTGTTTTTGGACCTTAAGACTATTTCAGATTTAACAAATGCCCATAACTTATAATTATCCAAATCAAATAGAGATAATTTTAATTATTATTTCAAACCCTAATAAATTTGTGATGCTTTTGCAAATACAAGGTACTTTTTTTTTCAGTTCCCATAACACTTAAAATTTTTATCATTACATATCGAATAAATGTTTTGAATATTAATTTTTAAAATTGAAATTGTTTTTTTACCAAGACTTCTTTACATTAAGAGGATGCAAAGGTACAGTTTTATTCTCTTACAAGAAAAAATGGGAACTCTCTTTGTGTTACAATCAATTCAAAAAAACAACTCTTTAAACAGTTTACTTCCATTGTAACAAAAACTGAACAATGTTGTTAAACCTATTTTCACTTCACCAAATATTTAAAAGTTTCTTTATATTATAGATCTTTAACTAGGTTTAGGGATCACAGAATCTTAAAATCCCGATTGCTGGCCGTAAACACGCGGTTGGCCCCTCACTGTTATTTTCATTATGAAAGTATTTGTTAAGGCCCATCCTCTCATCACGCTTGTTAGTAGTTGAAGGGTTGTTGCAAGTTCAAACCAACCCTGCTATATTTTCAGCCGTAGGTGCTCTTGCATGATGGATTTGGGTAGAATGCAGCTGAGACAACGATGGAAAAGATTTTTGGCTTTCCCTCCTTGTTGACCAACATTTTCTTTACAAACTGCACTTACCACTTAAAATTTGAGTCAATACTGTTTGTTGTCAACGTCCAAATGGGAAATAAGACTTGCCCAAACGTGCCCGTCTTCTGCAGCATCATGTGGCACCATAATGAGGTGTTCAAAATGTCATGTACCATTGTCTTCCTGCTTGTAATGACTTCCTTCCTGGAATTTCACCCTTCCGGAAAAGTGAAAGAGAATCAACCAGGGTTGCTTTTGTTCCGTTCAACAAACATATCATATACACCAGCACAGTTCAATTTGCATTTACAATTACCGGAAAATGAATTTTTAACCATTGTGTGCAACTAGAACACAGTTTGGAATTTTTTTTCACCCAGGCAGTAAATAGTTGGGTGGGCCGAACTTTATATCTGTTGCTTCTACCCCGGTTGTCCAAGATGTAATAGAGGGTCGCCATCAACTGAGAGGCCAGTGACTTGCCTAGCCCAAGAGATATGGGTTTGTCGGTTTAAGAACATACTGAGAAAAATGTACGGGTTCCAGCCAAATCTGACGCTGCTATCTGCGTTATCTGTGGCAGGCAATGTCCACGAACTGTAAAAAAAAATCATTTGGTTTTCATTTCGGTGAATATCAATTTACTGACAATAAATATATTGCAATATGTTGTGTTTTTAGAAGAGTTGCTAAGTACTAGTTAGCACTAAATACAATAACAAAACTGTGCACCTTAGCACTAAATACATAACAAAACTCTGCATCTAAGTTGCCGCCAATAAAAGCTAGAGTAGTAAACTGATTTTCATTTACACTTTAGAAGTAGTAAACTTTTACATTTGCATTAATCATAAACTATTTCTTACTAAGGTCTGTCGTCTCCAGATCAAACGTCACCAATGTCGGGTTTGTGAGCTGAATAGGTTTGAAGTCTCCTTTGGGTATTGGGGCTGGAATAGCCTCTATATCTGCATTGGTCTCATGGCCAATTCCTAAAAATCAATCACACAAATGATAAACATTTTTTGTCTGGTCTTACCGGACAATTTGTCATAATGTATCAAGTTTTAAATTAATGAAACTTGCAAACATAAACATTATTTTTCATTCCTTGATCAAATCTATATGGTATTTATTATTATATACTATATTAGTAAAATATTATATAGATACAGCTGCCAGAACACAAATTTTACTAACCAGACTGATATAAGAGACTCCTTCCAACACCTCCTGGGCACCCTGGTTCACCGCCCGCTCTTTTCTTCAACTCCAAACGGCGTCTTTTCGTTGAGGGAAGTTCCATTTTGCCTGGACACGCTCACGATTTTTCTGGCACTTCTCAGCATGCTTGAGTGTGTGGACCCCAGGGGACAAGCCAGCATCTACATTTGCCTGCAATTATGGAAAAAACATAGTACAGATTACCTTATCTTGCTCTATTGTTAATAAGTATGAAATAATAAGAGTTATATAACAACAGAACAATATTTTTTTTTTAATTTTTCTTTTTTATAAATAATGTACTTTTCTCTTAAAATACCCCATAAATGAGTGTTATAGCAGCCAAAAATTTCTTATCTTTGTCAAAGTATTAAATAAATAATTTTTAATTTTAATCAGTTGTACCTTTCTTATCCTTTGTCCAAATTGAGACCAGAATGCATGTAGATCTGGAAACGTGTAACTGTAAATTGAGACAACTGTAAAAAGAAACAGAACATAAAACTCAAACACCAGTAACAAAAAAAACAAACAACAATTTTGCACACCTGAGATATATTGTTTTGATTACTTAGAATACTGAAAAGTTCAGGACAGATCTATATGAGTGTTCAAAGAATTTAATTCAGCCAAAACAGATAAAAAAAAAGCAGATAGGCAAGCATTTGTATTTGCATTTTCGGCCCAATGGTCATTCTTTGTGTAGCTTTGTATATTGTATGTTGATTAAAAAAACTCAGGTGCACTACATCAGCAAACAAGAAAAATAATAATAAACATGCAAACTTGAAATACTTTTTCATAAATGTGCATTTACGCACAATAACCAGAACACATTTATTTGAATTACCTCTGCGATGTAATGTCTTCCTTCATTGATGCAAAGCTGCTGTAGCGTGGACCCTATAGTCCAAGAGACTTAGTGTTTCCATAATGGAAGCTCTTAGCGCTCTTATTGAAACTTCCCTGTTGGCATGTTCACAAGCTTGTGATGAGCCAAGATCCGCATATTGCTCTGCATTATCAGCAAGAGGTTTAAAAATCCCCCTCCAAGGCTGCCCGAAGTTGTTCGTCCTTTCAATGGAGCCTTGTAAGGCAGACTTCTGTGGACATAACTCTTCCTGTCTTCTGGTGAACGCTTATACCCACAGAATCTAGGATGGCACATACTGTGATCACCAAATTGATGCGGAACTAAAGCATTCAAGTTTTCTCTCAGAGCATCCTTATCACCAGCATTTTTTTGCAAAAGCATATTTTAAACACTTTTGAAGATGGAGGATAGTAATTTTACTGATTTTTCACATTTTTAGAGTGATGAAGACTGAAGAGATGTGATTTTCCAACATTTTTAACGACATGATTTTTTGTCAAATCTCTTTTTTAGATGTATATTTAGATTTTTTTCACTCTAGCTATGAGTGTATTGTCACCATCTCCTTCAACATATTTCTATCGGAGTTCCTTCATCCTTCAGTTCTGCACTCCTTTCTCCCCACTGACACTTTCCATCAGTTTGGCACTCCCACGATGGTTTCTAACACACAGGTGAGGTCTGACTGCTTGACCCTTACGGTTGCGTGCCCACCAGTTACACGTTCCACAAACCCTGTGTGATACAATTGACTTAAGAACCTTCTTCCCATACTTTGACTTTGACATGAAGAATGTGTGTGCTGAAAGAAAATGAAAACTTTATTATATTTATTAATACTAGCTGCCACCATTTCATGCAGAGTTCTAAAGTTTTGTACAATAAGATAAATTTCTTTTTAACAATATAAATTAAAAGTGAAATCAGTCAAACCAATAACAACGTTTTGACCCAAACAAACTCAATATTTCCTATCTATGGGCTAAACAAAAAAGGCAGAAATTTCATTACAAAGCTTACAGGTTAAACTATCAAATCCACGTTTTTGCCAGGCGGTGTCAACTGAACAGGACATTCCAAGTCTGGTCCTACACTGAAATTTGTCTTGAAGGCGAATTTTGGCTCTTTCACAAGAGATCTTTCTACAGCCGTCAGGTTGGGAATTTTGTCTTCTGGAAATAAAAATCAATATAATTATTCACAAATTAAAGGGACTCCACTGAGGTATTTTGAATGATGGGACTGAAAATATTTTTTCCAGATAAATCTACGATTTGATGTAGGTTTAGACCACTAATTTTTGTGCAAAATTTCAGATTGAAAAAAATTTACCCAAAATGAAAAGCGTAAACGCTTTTCATTCAATCGGGCTGAGAAAATCATTAAAATTACGATTTTCAATTTATTTCATAGTATATTTCTTAACTATCTTTGCATATATTTCTGTTTAAAGTGCCCTAGCTCATCTATGTAAGAAATTCAACTGTAATGTTTTTAGGCTTTTAAACCTAAGTGAAGTCCCTTTAATAAATGTATAAAAATTTCTCCATTTCTGAAGTCAGGTTAACTATAATGCAGCATTACAAACTGTGTGCAACTTTTGTTAAAATGGGAACCATTCAATCTAATTTTAAAACCATTGTGTGTGAAGCTCCTGAAATTTATATAAAAGTTGTAAAGTGCTATAAAAGTTCAAATGTAATGCCATTTGCAGTTTATTATACATGTAAGAAGATACCATACTTTACAAAACTTTTTAGTAAACCAATGCTTCAGTAATCTAAAAAAATACCTGGTAACTCGTTCCTGGATGATGGGTGTGTCGCCTAAATCACTCCAATTACCATCACCTTTGTCAGCCCTCGGCACTGGCACAGGACTGTCGCAGCACCTCCCTGGAAATAATGCGATACTGTATTTACCAATGTTGGAAAATAAAGTCTATAAAAACAGTGAACTAAGAAATTTGTTTTAAGTTGCACCCCTGTCACCCGAACTCTCTGCTTCTACAGTAATCACTTAAGTTGTTATACCCCACTTACCACAAATTATGTTGCTGCATTGTAAACAGGACATGCATAAAAGAAAATGCACTGCAGGTATGTTCAATTCTTTATGACTTGCTTAAAATTATACTCCAGACATACTGGGACTTTATATATAAAAAGAAACCTAACATGATTAAAAAGTATGGTATAAATATGTTTCTTTACTTTGTATGAGGGGATGCATCTGGCATTGCTCCAATTCCAAGGTCTTCAATTAGCGACCTGTCTATAGACTGCTTTGCCTCATCAGTCATACTTTTTGTGAAATCTCACTAAACATACAAAATACATGATAGTTAATTGAAATGGAATTTTTTATTAGTCATGAACAATGACTGACAGACATTAACAAACTTACTTCCCGACGGTATTTTTAATTTACATGTGAATTTTTTTATTGGACCGTTAGACAGCTATTTAATAGTAATTTAATATTAGTTTAATTAAAAAACAAAAATTATATTTTTAAAAATTAATTTAAATTACTTTTTATCAAGAATAAAACTTACTCCATTTTCCTGCTTGAAGGCCATTTTGGCAGCTGCCGCTGATGACTTTAACAGAAATCTTCTGTTTACTGTTTCTCCAGCCCGAGTTTCCATCTTCTGTAAAGTAAAAATAATTTGGAATGAGGGGTCACCGGATTTTTTTTAAAAACCCCTTTTGTTTAAAAAAGTGAATAAAAGTGATCACTGGCGGGACCTATTAGGTTGGGAAAAATTGCTTCAATTAAATTTCAAAAAGCTCAAAGGGAAAATTTTGTTTTGAAGTACAAAGTATAAAAAAAGTTTTGTGTAATGCTTAAAATAAGTTTTTTACATTTCAAAAATTTAATTTTGGAAATAATTTACAAAAAAAAAATATAAAAAATTTTCATACCTTTAAGTTGGAAAGGGCTTTAGTTGGGATGTTTAAAATTGTGGGGAAAAATGTTTTTTAACAAAAAAACTGGGCCCCCCTATGTTTTTATTTCTGTAAAATAAAAGAACAAATTTTATTAAACATGGAAAATTTTATAAAACTTCTTTAAAAAAAATTTGGCAATTTTTTATTTGTATTTTCAAAGGGCTGGTTAACATTATTATACCAATGTGGCACCTAAGATGTGTGATGATTAATATATGCATAATTAATGCTCATGCAAAACAGCAATAATATGCACACATAACAATACAAATGTAGCTACTTTATGCTGTGGTGACGCGTCAAAATTAATTGTGTGAACATGACTAACTCTTATTCAACATGACATAAAATTGATAAAGACATGTAAAACAAAGTAATAAACCATGTACAAAACTCTGGAAAAAAGTGATCCCCCGGAAAGCATTAATCACAACAAAATAACATAAGAATTGCAGACTCGTTTTTGATTGAGTCTGAACATGAGGGGTACTGAATAAGTGCAACATCCCTCACGACCCCTAGCACCGGCTTGAGCAACACATTACAGTGTTGGCATCAATGGATCCCGAAGGACAGGAAAATATAGCAACACTTGAAGTGAAGTACATGGCAACTTTTTACGGCTTGCCACACGGCAGTTGTGAAGTACAAAACTCTGGAAACAAAGTGAATCCCTCGGAAGCATTAATCACAACAAAATAACAAAAGAATTGCAGACTCTGTTTGATTGAGTATGTACATGTGGGATAATGAATAAGTAAATCACATCTTCTGCACTTATTAATTTAACTCAAATTATAACAATCAATATTATTTCAATGCATGTCAATCTTTAAGTTTAATAGGCATAGTCAATCTCTCTAATTTTTCATAATAAAATTTCATTCCATATTCATTTCAATAAAATGAATGCATGTATCATAAAAAATAAGCATACCGTGTCCCAAGTTTAGTATTTGCAGCAAAACATGGCATGCCTTTTTTGTTTGTTTCGGTGTGTTTTCCCGTATGTCACACGGTTTCACAGCTTGCACAGTCCACATTTTGACATATCACGTACAAAAACCCTGACAGTCCTTTCTTCTGCTCACCGATAACATTATATGCAGTAAGAGGCACAGGCCCTAAACCCACATTCTTTTACAGACTTTTAGATTATCCAATAAAACACCAAATTCAACCACACGTCTACCTTTCCCTCCACTTGTTGTTGAAAAATTTGTTTGTTTTCCTTTGTTCCGGTATTCCTGGAATATTAATGTCACCCGAAGTGTTGGATTACCCACGACGTAGTTGTGGTTTTCTATAATATTTCTATTAGTCCGTAATTTTTCACAAACCACCCCGTTTTAACTTAAAAAATCGTCCGTACTTATCTCTCACGGGCGCAGCCATTCTACTTTTGAAAACGAGGCTACCGCCTGGTTCCGATATTTACGTCTTTCATACAGCGGAGCCGGGACCGGTTATATCTAGTTTACGCCGGTACTCGGCAAAGCGCGGAATCCCGACAATGTACGAAATAAGGCGTAATAAGACGAAGATTATTAGAGTCGGAAAGCCTTAAAAAAAATCAATTTATCTGAAACCCTAAAATGCCTATCATTCAGTTTCGTTGCTACTTTGTTAGCCAATAATTACGGTTCTTTGTGATAATTGTAGAGTTCGTATCAAGGGTTGTTCAAAAATTGTTAAAGGGAGTTGGTCTGTAATGGGCGGTCTATTAATGAAAAAAAAAATCTACAAAACAACAATTTTTCTTCAAAATGATATGTAAGGCCATGTTTTAACATGGAAAAACGCGATTTGGGGTAATTTCATGTATTTTCATCATTTTCTAGATGGTAACCCATTACCAGATATATACGCCTTTCTACGCCTTTTTCACCCCCCCCCCCCCTTTGTGAAATGGTGAAAAAATGCCTTATTTAGGCCCCCAACACATGTTTTTGTTTGAGAAATGTTGTTTAAAAAAAGTGACCACTTTTTCGGCGCCGTCCCCCATCCAAAAGATACGTCAGGGGGTTGCCAGAAAGGTCGAACCAACGCTGAAAAGCCTTTGTCTCTATTTCAATCCGTTGAGAAGTGGCAGCACTTTGAAATCAATTTTGATGAAAAAAAATCAACGCAAAATATTGATTTTTGGCAATTTTGAGATGTCCCCTAGTTGCCATGGTAACAGGAAATTTAAGACTGAGCATGTTGTTACAAAGGCAATGGTCCAGTCAACATTTGTGCCAAGTTTGATTAGAATTGAAGCAGTTTTTTATAGTCTTATAGCAACTTGAACTTGTAACGGGAGACTTTTCAATGAAAACAGCCATTTTTACAAAATGCTCATGCGGTAATGGGTTAAACAATTAATGATCATGTTGGTATTTTAAGTATCATACGTGAAAACAAACCACGAAAGAATTATATATGGATGTTGTTGGTAAGTGTTAGATGATCAGTATATCTCTATAAAGCAGAAAATAAAATGTTCTAAAAATAAAATTTATAATTCATCATAAGAACTTTATCAATATTTTGCTTTCCAGAAATATTTCATAAGAATATCCAAATGATACATTCTATTGTTTTTGTCAATATTTGAAATACTAATGGAAAATGTGACCATTGTAGCTCAATGCACTTTAATTCATGGATTATTTACAAGTCATTCGGGAGTGGTTCTGGGATTGATTTGTTTATACTGAAGTCATTTATCGGTCTAAACATAGGTCCAATATTCTGTAAAACTTAAATCATGTTGTTTTCAGATATCGTAAGTCCTCTCGCTCTAAACTGACATTAAGCTCATTTTTTCGTTGTCCAGTTGAGTTGAATTAGATATATATTTTTAAAAAATTGGCTATTTTAATGGTGATTGAACAATAATTGATAATTAGAAATGCTAAGGATAAAATATTTAAAAACCCTGCCTAATATATAAAAATACTGCCTTACTCTCTAATTTCTTTTATCACCTGAGCTCTGAAGCTTAAGGATATTTGTAGAAATTTGCACATGCCACGTTGGTTATTGAATATTCCTTAAATGTAGAAAATGAAATTGGACACAAATTTGGCAAAATGTTAACTGATTTCGACTTTTTCCAGTACTCTCAATTTAACATTTCAAATGGCATGCACTAATGTCACTATAATATACGATGATTAAAAGACAGCAATCTTTTCACATTAAAGGTACTCAGCTGATGACCAAATGCCTAAAAACTTGAAATTTGATTTTCTTATACATTGATCAGCTTGGCCACAACACAGTGGTTGGACAAACCTGTACACCACAAAATTTCTAAACAAATGAACCAATGCCTGTGTATCAATCATTATGGAGGTTGCTATGGAGATTGTTGGTAATAAATTTATATAAGCCTCTGGAAATTCACTTCAATTCAAAATAGTACATGAAGTTATATTGCTTTGATAAAAAATAACTAATACTAAATTGTACTCAAAATGTAGCCTCGGGTGCCCTTATTCCGTGGGAGTCGTGGTTCCGGTGATTTTTGTTTACTTCCTGTCTCGCGCGAAATCGATGACGTCATACGTCAAGTGCTTGATAATATTTTGTGTATTGCAGAACGCAAACAACGAATAGAAAATCAGCTCAAAATGCGAACAAAGCAGGTAAAGAAGGGTCATAACATTTCATCTTGATGTAAATTTGTATTTTTTACTATTTCCAATTCATTGCTTTTAAAAACTGCCTATTTTTGCTGCAAAAACATCATTTGAAAATTTGACAGCTGATTTATGCTTGTAAACAAACCTCCATTGACATTTTCCCATCGTGCAATTTTCGGTAAGTTAGGGCTAAGCACATTTTTCATAAGTGGTTTTCAGACCTATTTCTTATGTGATTTTTTTTTATCTTAAAACTGCTTTTCAGCAAAATCCAAAGAAAATTCATCGTAAAAACAGGCTTTACTCCCCTACAGCATTGACAAATGCCTATATGCATATAAAGGAGCATGGCACATCAGTAAGAAAAGCTGCAAAACTCTATGGTGTCCCAGAGAGTACCCTTAGGGACAGAACTTTAGGGTTAGTTCATATTGATACTCTGTCTGCTGGTGGACAACCCTTGTTTGACGAGTATGAAGAGGCTAATCTTGTCAGCCATTTCAAAACTATGGCAGGATATGGCCATGGGTACACAAGACAAGAGTGTGTTGACATTGCCACTGATTATGCTGTCCAGTTAGGTCGCCGAACTCAGAATAGACCACTCACGATGAAATGGATGAGAGGGTTTTTAAAGAGGTGGCCAGAGTTAAAGGTTGTTAAACCAAAAGTAGGTATTTTTCGTTTTATATTGAAATAATTCACACCTAAGAATTAAA